ATTTTTAATAGTTTTCTGACCAAATCGTATACGTTCTTTCAGAATCTGTGATCAAAAACGAATTTTGAAATTGAGGAGGTGGAAAGTATGTCAGAAAAACGCGGTTTTCTCACGGACTGTCTCTTAACCAGTCACCCATTAATTGTCCATGTTCGACTGCAATTCCAACAACCAATGCTGCTTCCTGTACACAGCTCAATACTTTCAGATTTCTGCCTACAAAGCAGACAAAAACCCAAACTTTCATAACAATTGTTAACGCAGCACTAAGAAACACTACAATTTGCAGCACTTCAGTTTCAGACCACTTTTTCTTCAATATCTCACTCTTGTGCTAACTGTTATCTGACTACTTAACATACCTTTTTTACCACCGGTTGCATAATTAACCCATAAATCAACTTCATTTGTATGATGATCAACCGTTAATAGTTCAGCTACGCTGATTTCATCATAATTATGACTTGCTTGTTTTCTTTGACTATAATATGTTTTTCCACTGTTTCTGGTTGTTTCTTCCTTTTTCAAGTACTAAGCATTCAAATTCGGCTGGAATAACAGCTGCTTTTCTAATTGATTTGCTAATAATGGACCGATTGCACCGGAATATAATTTACCACCGTAAATATTCTCATCTTTACTAATATCAGCAATCAAAGTGGCTAAATTCATCACAAAAACAACAAATCTAAAGATTTGAAGCGTTCTTACTTTACCGAAGTCAAAATATTTTGATTCTTGTTTAATTTGCACTTCAAATGGTTTCACAGTTAATCCCGTCCTTAAATTATGTGGATTTTATTAAGGTGATGTAACTAAAGATGAAGATGACATAGTTGTGTTTGAATCAGCATAAGCTGAAAATCATTTCAATAGAAAAGTCCTGATAGATGTTATGACTTAATTTTATTCTGTACACATATATATATATATATATATATGCCAGTGTGTACATATCTCTATCTCATGCTTTTCTTTTCGTTTTTTTTATTATTCATCTGCTGACACAAACCAAAAAGTGAACTGCTTCACACTGTACTTCTCCAAGACGAACTAGTCCAGTGCGGACTACTTCACAAATAATATAATACTCGTACAGTACTTGATTTTACAAAGTGTGACGAAAGTTAGTAGTAGACTTAAACGTTGTTTTCTTGCCGTTATAGCTCTTTATTGCTGCCGTTTGTACGATGCAACTTGTGACGACAGTACTGTGTAACCTACCTAAAAAACTGGACAATTTCATCACAACCGAAAACGAACTTTCGTCACAAAAGAACTGTTTGTATTTGGACTACTCCAATTTGAACTGCTGTAGTGGGGACTAATCCAGACTGAACTACTCCCAGACGCAATAGATGCTTGATTTTGATACTTTGACTATACCAAAAGACTTCAAAAGGATTTTTTACGCGTTTCGCTAAGAAAATGCAATGTTTATAAACCAAAAAGCAAGAAGTTATTACTCCAGCTTGCACTGCTATACTTTGCATTACTGCAGTTTGGACTACTCCAGTTTACGCTACAACACTATGAACTTTGCACTAAAACCTTGATTGCATCACACCCGTTTCATACAACTTGTAACGAAAGTACTGTGCCATCTACCTAAAAGTCGGACACTTCCGTCATAATCGAAAACGAACTTTCGTCACAAAAGGGGTTAACTTTCGTACCCACTACGTAAACATGGTTAAACTTTCGTCACATGCCCATCTCTACACCATGAATTTTTGTCACCGGAAAACAGAACTTTCGTTATGTGACGAAAGTGCTGTGAAACTTTTGAGAATATATTTTTGAGTTAAAAATTAAATTTTAAAGCTTTTGAAATTTTAAAATTTCGCAGTTTCCGCGTTTAAGAGCAAAAGAAGAAAATTTGAGCAACTTTTGTGCAGAGCTGCTAATCGCTTTTTTCTAAATTTTACATTTTAATTGAAATTTTTAACGTTGTCTGTTTTAACAGACATGGAGCTATGTTGAGCAGAGTGTTCTGATCAGAATCAGATGTCCAACAGGTTTGTACGACTTCGTCTTCCCGAGTTATATCAGTTTTGCTAAAGGCGCTGAACTACAATTAATGAAGTGATGACGTCACTGCTTAGAATCTGATTTTGGCGCAGCAGTTTTGTATCTCTTTCTAGATGATTCGTCGTGAAATCTTCATTCTTTTTCATTTTGAAGCTAAGACATTTATCTAAAGTTTGATCCGAGGTGATTTTTGATTTTTGTTTCTGTGCAGAGATAAGTGGCACATACTCCGCCGAATTAGGGTTATTTTCAGAAGTCTGACTTAAAATACGTGTAGGAAATGAACATGAAGTAAAACTCAAAAATCGCCGCGGATCAAATTTTAGATTTAGGAATCTACTTTCATTTGAGGTCACTCGCAGCTTTCTGCATTTTCCAACAAAAAAGCCTTTACGTTTTTGCTAAGAGCCCCGTTTCGCCCCTTGTCACGCAATAACTCGAATTTTTAGCATACGCTAGTAGGACAGTAAGCATTAGTTACTGAAAGCGCCATCGAAATCGCATGTAAGATAAAAAAGTTTTTCCCTGAGAGAGGACACTTAAATACGTATTGTGTGTACTAAAAAAATTCGTTTCACAATCACTTTTCACAATAAAGACCAATTTTTGTATATTTCGCCTAAACTAACTACGCGCAGTCTTCCAGACTGCTTTTATCTAATTTTTCTCCCAGCATTATTGCAATCATATCCTCGCATATCAAGAAAATAATTCGATGATTCGACATTCAGAACGGAGCTTGAGCTTTTCTGTAATTGAAAAGCGGTTATAGAAGAACAGATATTAAGATACTGTTTTATTCTGTATACTGCAAATAGTTGTAACGTGTTAATGCGATATTTCAATTTTTGAATGTTTGTATAGTATTACAGCTTACTTTTAGATCCTCTTTCAATGATAGTCATAGGCGCAGTGGGTGCAGCGATTGGCATTTTTGGAATGTGCCTTTTTCGAGGTTATCAGCATGATCACAATATAAAACATGAAATAATTGAAAGAAGGAAAAGTGACTTTGCTCATAGTGCTCGTAATCATTTACAACATCTTAAGACAAAAAGTAGCAGCCTACCAACTATTGAAACAATTAAATATAGTATGTCTATGGTTAATCAACCTCAAAGTAATGATACATCATCGTCACGTACTAATCAGATGAATTCTAACGACAATGATGAATTTGAAAAATCGAGAATATATGCCACTCTTCATGCTCTGTGTTTACATTCATTTGTACGTATATTGCCAAATATAACTTTGTTTCAGATAATATATAAAACGAATTTGTTTTTTTCTTTTAGGTTGTTTTACTAGAATCATTGATTGCATTAGTGTCTGGTTTATTAAATAAATTTGTTCCTAATCATGATTATCATTCTGGAAAAGAAATTAATCTATGGTTAAAATATGTTGATCCATCATTAGCATTGATCATGGTTATCATTATTGTTTGTAAAGCTGTGCCTGTGGTTTGGTCGTTAGGTCATATTTTGACTGAAGCCGTTCCAGCGGGCATTAATACGGATCAGTTAATGAAAACTATTTTAAAAGATATACCACAAATTAAATCTTTACATAACGTCCATGTTTGGAGGTAAAAATGAAACTGAAAATATTATTCAATTATAATGACGTATTTCTTCTTTCAAATAGGATTACTGCACGTGATATATTTGCTACACTCCATGTTGTTTGTATGGAAGATGTTTCATTAAGTGTATGTCGAAAAAATATTGGATGCCAACTGCAAAAAATATTTGAAAAATATTGTATTCGATATTTTACATTACAAGTCGAATATATTAATGATACAGAAGATATTGTTCAGTGCGTTTATGGAATAAAAAATAGAAAAATAGGACATGCATCATCAGCAACGAATAAGGGAAACAAAGAGATTATGTTGACAAATTTTTCTATTGAAATGTTATAGATGTGTAATGATAAATGTATATAAGATACGCTTTCGTTGAAAATTCTCAGCATATATTGTTATACGCCTTTTATGAATGTGCTTAGCTTTGGTACCAGAGCTCAATTCAAGGCTCAGTTGCTCCTGTTTTGGAGCTGGAAGAATGCCACGATCGTCCTCACGATAAACGAGAAAAGATCGTTGGCGGGCAAGTACAAAATACAGCGTCACCCGTATGAGATGACCAACTCCTTAACCCAAATAAAGATGATTCTTTAAGGGAAACTTGTTGGCCATCCCCTTCTATTCTGAGTGGATATTTTCTAAAAAAAAGCATTTGAATGATATATCATCAAGTCGTCAGAAAACGTAAAACGCGATGGGGAAGCGCAAGATGTGAGAGTTCGCCGTGTGATGATACTTCTTGTGAGCGACGATGTTTATTCATGGTGAGAAGCAGTGATTACTTCACGGAAGGGTCAGTAAGTAAAGCCGCCCCGATTAAACGTTTCAATCGGCCGGTTTCTACCATTTTTTCACCGATTTACCTATCTGAATCCGATTTATTATGGTAGCAATGATTATTTCCAGAGTCCGTTGTTAGGCAAAGCAACTTAAACAAAAAACTCACTTGATTTTCGTTTTTTCGTGTAAAATAAATAACCCATTTACCCATAATACCGGATTTAAAGGATCTTTTATCTGTTTGCCTCACTGATAAATAAAAGTTTTCTTGTTTATGGTGGACTTAGGCTTCCGCAGGACAGCTGTTGTGCCTGTAAGTTTTAATTCTAATGTTTTTCCTTTTATTGCTCTTCAGAAATAGACTAGATAAATTATCCGACAATTTGTGTTAGGAAATAACACTTTGATGTGTAAGATGAACTATAAACTTTGATAGGAAACACCACTTTTGATAAGTGGTGTTTCCTAATACAAATTGTCGGATTTATCTATCCTGTTTCTAAAGACCAATAAAAAGAAAAAACATTAGAATTAGAACTTACAGGCACAACAGCTGTCCTGTGGAAGCCTAAGTCCACCATGAACAAGAAAACTTTTATTTATCAGTGAGGCAAACAGATAAACATTATAATTCGAAACTTTAGGCGGCATGTTTTCGCTGCGGCTAAAAGATTAAGTGGTTGTCTGTTACGTACAGGCAGAGAAAAGAAAGACCTTTTACCCATTTAAGAGTTCAAACTAACTTTTGAACAATTTGCGCAGAGTGCCAAAAATACGCTTGGTTTTTTTTGCTGAAATGTTCTGCTCTTAGTTAGCAACAGTGTAAACTACGCAGATTAAACGAACTTTCTTTACTCCAGAAACGTTGTATTGCAAAGGATGAACTTCTCGTGAACATGTAAGTATTTTCAGGCGTTACTGAATGTCATTTAAAATGTATCATCTAACGGCCAAAGGACACCGTTGCTACGGTCTTAGACGTCCTTTTTCGGCAGCTTCATTTTAGCCTAAATACATTGCAAAATAATCGAAATTAATAATTCAGGTTGACGAATTCAAAATGCACTTAGACTGCACTAGTGATTTAAACTTAATGAAGCGATTACAACAACGGGTAGGATACTAATTCTTCTGGTAATTTTGTTGGTAAAATTTTTCTGGCAAGAAAGATAGCTAAAATAAAAAAAATTCGCACCATTCGACAGCGCGTTTCGCAGTGTTTATTAGACACTATCGAAATCAATAAAAAGTTCACTTTCGACTTTCCACTAAATGTCCGCCTAGATTCCCACTGTCTAGTGCAGTCTAAATGCATTTTACATTCTTCAACCTGAAATTTATTTTGGAAGGGCAGTTATTAATTTCGATTCTTTTGCAATGTGTTTACGACAAAACGAAGCGGCCGAAAAAGAACGTCCAAGAATACACGAAAGCAAGCACTTTTTCTACATGGCGGTGAGATCAATACAGCCAAACAGCTTTCCTGAAAACTGAGTATTCTATTTTCAAAAGTTTTCTATGTATACTTACAGCTGAAAAAAAGCGCAGTGCCAGAGAAAGTAAAGAAACAAACAAACAATAGCAGTCAAATAGCCATTTTGAAAGCCAAAGTGCATAAGTTTTAGTTATTAACACCGGTAGTTACTTTGCTTCTTGCTGTTATAATATAAAGTCATTAGCGGGCACACTTTATTTTTTACAGTGTAGAGCCCCACACAATGATTAGAAAGTCTAGACTGATGGCTCATTCTGTCAGACAAGAATGAGCCATCAGAATTTCTCCACGTCCTTTTCTTTCAGAAAAAATTGATCGTTTCTCACTGAGTGGGTCGCACAGGCGGTGCTTCTATAAAATGGCTATAACTCGAAAAGTAAAAGAAAATTTCACGAGCGGTTTTCAACATTGAGTTTAGCGCACTCAGCACATATCTCGACAACATGGCGTTAAGTAGTGGTCTTTCTTTGAGTGTCTTGTAAGGCGCACCAAATTCAGGCTTAATGGTAATTTAGGTTTTAGATTATCGTTTTTAATGTAACCAATATAACTTTTTTGTTTATCGTGAACCTTATGTCATTAAGGTTACTCATCCGCTCCTTTTTGCTTAAAAAATCTCAAGGTTTTAGATTCGTAAATTTGTCTCTCCTTTTCTATATATTCGAAATCTTTTCTTATATATTGCATGATAGAAGAAAGTGTGCTCTTCAAAATGAGATGTTTTCCAGAAACTTCCGATGAGTTTTCTCAGAGATATAAGCATAGCCGCAAATGCCCTGAAAAACAGAGCCCTAAATGGTCTGATCGAGCTCAAAATTTTAGCATAGATACGTTTTTATTTAAATGATTGATTATTAATAAGTGTTTCTTTAGTGAAAATTGACCTGTAACCAACTTTGTTTTGCGATCATTATGTACATTTTCTGTGGTCTAGTTCAGACCAATTTTTCTTCAGTTTTCTTTCTTTAACTGTTTTCAACTTTTCAAATTCTTGAGCAAAATAATATATTAAAAATTGTGATTCTAGCTTAAGTGAGATTAGTAGTCGATGCTGTGGCCGACATGACTCATCGCTTTGCTAACTAGTGTAAACACTGGCGGTCATATAATTTCATTAACTCTCTATGAGCTCAGATTCTTGTTAATACAATCTGAAGATAAGTTCGTTAATTTTCTGTGTTCAGTGTCTCAAAAAAATCATTCTGACATTTTCCATTCGTGTAAAGACATGGAGGTCTTCAGAATTCCATTATGACGAGGATAATAAATGGAAGGTTTGCCATTTTTTTCGTTGTTTTCCTTATATTCTTCACGCCATTACGCATGTTCGTCTCCATATCTTATGCCGCCGCTCATTTTTAAGGGAAAACGCTTACCTTCTACGCTTTCATTTTTTTAAGGTAAACTTTTCAAGTTATAAAACCCTTAAAATAAGAATAAGAGCTCACCAAACCCATGATAACATGAATTTGAGAAAATGAACCAATGACTGCTGACTAGCTAGTAAATCTCTTAAGGAAGCATAAAAAAATCACACACAGCATCGACTATAGAGTGAGCGAAGTTGTATAGTGTCTGAATACGTGCAGCGCCCTAACGAAAGTCTGTTCTTCTCTAACTAATTCCGTTGATCACAGTTTCCATTATGAAAACTCATGTTAATCATTTTTATAATTTACCAGAAAAGCACAATTCATTGTGCTAGAAAGATAGGCTGTTTCTTTTTAAAAAAGCTGTTTGTTGAAGAACACGTTTTCGTTAAAACACGTCTTTTCATGTCCGAAAAGAATTTTAAAAGAATATAAAGAAAACAAGTTAGTCAGCTTAATTGTAAGACAGTTGATTAATTTAATCGAAACAATATGCACACTTATAACAAAAGGCTAAATAACATCCTACAATAAAAGAAATATTTTGAGATCGAAAAAATTAGTTACTTATATGAACTATAGAACTGACCACCCTCTTCTCCGAATGTGAGAGAAGAAGAAGAAGAGAAGAGATGTTAATTTGAAGTTAAAAGCTGAGAAGAATGAGAAAATGTGTTTTTTTATACGAAATTTACTTTCGATTATGACTCTCGGCTATAACCGAGGTACGGAAAATATTATTGATAAAATAAATTATTAATTAATATTTTATTGTTTTAATTTCCTCTCAAAAATCCGGCGACAAAATAAGAAAAGGAAAAAACTCGAAATAGGTAGAAAGGAACAAAGCACTAACTGAATCCTCCCTCTTTAAGACCTTTGAAGAAAAATCCAAAAATCTCGAACCAAGCAAAACGAAATAGAGTAACATTATAGCATAGCTTAGAAGTAACATGGCTGTTCTTGACGAGGAGCAATAGAAGGTAGTGGATATGGCCGTCACATCCCCTCCTTAACTTTTAAAGCCACGGTCAACCGCAACGCTGCTCGGGAATGGTGGATATGAAGCGATCTGATGTAGATGAACGACAAAAACAGGCAAACTTGTCTGTTGGAAGCGGGCCAAAATCACCCTCGGTACATCTATGTAACGCTGGATTAGGACCACATATATTTGTTACATTATTGCATATTCCTAAATCACAACACAACAATGAACAAACATTAGTTTTGTTTACCATGATTTTCTTACTGCACGGAGCATTTAGTTCTCCTGGAGCTAGATCACCAGGACATTCACATATAAAGGCTCCTGGTCCTAATATTGATCCAACGTCGATACAATTATAACCATTATCCTGGTTAATCGATGTGAAAGGTATGTTACAGGCATCGGGGCAAGCTAAACAACATAAGAAGAACATCTGCAGTAGTTCTACCAACAGCATAACATTTTTTTCTTCATGTTATGTTTTTATTTGTTTGCCAGCACGAACTTAATAAACATTCTCACAGTGTTTTCTTCCGTACGTATTTATTTTTTGCTTTCTTTTCGATTATATAACATTTTACTGTACTGTTTTTCTGCGGTGTGTTCAATTTTTGGGACTGACCTAACTTTTATTTGCTTGTCAAGTGCATGCTGAGCATGTAAAATGTGAATATGATTGGTAATAAACGTTACTTCTAAATTATTTCGTATCCTGTTTGGTGACCCGTGAAAGTTCGCGTCGTGGAAGTCATTGTAGCTGAAGGATCATCTCTCTCAGACAGGACGACAATGCTCTCTCTTTAACGCACGGTGTTATTATAATGTAGTAATCGTGCTCAATTTGCATCGAATGTTTGAATAAAGATGTATAGTAATAAAAGATTGATCGGAAGCTCACCAGCATTTATATCTTGAACGACCATCGACAATATAAATAGACCAACATTTATCAATTTATGAAACATAGTAGATTTATCCAGACGATTGGTGACAAGACTTAAATGTCTGGCTAGGTTTTATGATAAGTTGCCTGAAGGCTCCAGCAGAGCAGTTAAAGTCTGTGATTGAATTGTGCATTTTCTAGTTATTTTATGTTCCCTCCTGATGTAAAATGATATGCGAAAACAAGCTTTTAATATTTAATTTGAGTGTAAAATAGCCTTGACTTTATATAATCGATCTGTTATTATGAAAAATCTGTTAAGAATGTTTAATCCCTTTCTAGCTTTTGTAATTTTTTTGGCTTTTCTCGCATTTACAGCTTTTCTGGTCTTTATTTTACTGTGGAATCAACTCTTGTGCAAATGTTCTAGGATAGAAATTTACGTACTTTGGGGCACAAATACACGTGTAAAGTTATATACGAGGGAGGGGCAGCACTAGTGTGAGAGTAAGTTCCAAAAATAGTTTTATAATAAAGATAGTTGCATGGCGCGGCATCAAATTGGAGTGTAAACTAAAATGGAAAATGCAATAGCAAGTAGATTCGCAGATAACGCTAGACGATTTATTCTATTGTTATTTTGCTACGAGAAAACATCAGCACAAAGAAGAATAGTCACAGAAGCTCACACCGTAAAGGCAGAATTGTGGCAAGAATATTCGCCGCTTGTGAGAGTTTTTCGGATTCCATTTCAGATATTCTAGATTTTAATTTCCGTCCAGCTTTCTGTACAATAATAAGAAGAATGAAGGATGTTTAAAAATATAACATTATGGTTCATAAAATTCCACCGTACATGTCCAACAACTCCATGAATGTCTAGTATGGTTTCTTGCTATATATCTTCGATTTTCAAGTCCACGACAATTCCATCCACCACATTTTGAAAATGTGCAATTTTAAACAGTCATCCACTGCAGCTTATCTCTGGATTGTACGCTCTATCATCCTGGTTGATGAGCGTGAGTGGTTATAAAAGCTACAGCAGGAAGTGCTTAGAATGCATCGTAGTTTATAGACGTTCCGGTCTAGAAATTAATAATATTTATTTCGACTCCCTACGAGTGCAAAACTGCCTCCTCTATACTTTGGGAGAATATAACACTCATTGAACTCGTAATAAATAACGTTCACTTAAACTAATAAAAAGTTGAAAACAGCCTCCCCTATATAACACAGGTAAATGAAGAAGAAGAACGATTTTTATTTTATGTGTAAGTTATGGATGGATGATCCTTTGTATGCACAATGAAATCTTCTTGATTTTCCTCTCTAAAAATAAAAAGTAGTTGAAGTTTTAAAAGTGGTGATAAATTATTTTTTACTTTAAAGAAATGTATTAACCAGAAATATTTCCTTCTACGTTAAATCAGGAAGTTTTAACTTATTGACTAATTCAGTGACGGAACCATCGAACTTACTATAAATTATTCTTGCTGCTAATTTCGTTATTTTATCTAAACTATTACTGTACCACAAACTGTCATACATCGAACAACAATAATCTAATTTACTGAGTATGCAAGATTTATATATTTCTAAACGCACAGATTTAGGTGCATCTTTAAACATTCTATACATTGCACCGATATCTGCGTCTACATCCTAATGTTATATCCTGAATATGCGCCTTCCAGCTCAAATTAGAGGATAATTTTACACCTAACAAAACCACAGACTCTTCCCTTGTCATTAACATAGAATTTATAGTGGAAGAAAGATTATCAGCCACTGATGGAGAACGATAAGTGAAATAAATCCAGTTACATTTAGAGTAATTTAAAGTCATCAAATTCTGAGTACACCATTCCTCTATTTTGTCAATATACATTTGACATTCTTTTACACCGCACACAGTAGTAAAAGGACAAAGAAGTGAACAATCATCTGCAAAGAATAGACACAAAGCAGGAGAAGTAATAGACGAAGGAAGGTCGTTAACAAAGATCAGAAACAGTAGAGGACCTAAGAACACCAGAAGGAACGTCCAAAAGGGCCGAAACACAGGATCCAATGCGCACTCTTTGTTTTCTTTTTGTCAAATAACTTTTAAACCATGTGTACTCCTGTTCTTTTATTCCTAACGCATTCAGTTTCGTTAACAGTATTTGATATGGAACGCGATCAAACGCTTTCTCAAAGTCAAATGTAACTAATATTGAATCGTCACCAGCCTCTAGTTTATCTTGTATTTTATGTGTCAAATAAATTAGAGTATCCGTTGTGCTTGATTTTTGACGAAAACCAAATTGAACAGGTGAAAGAAATTGTGTTTCGTTAAATACGAAACTAATTCATCATAAATGAAACGTTCTAACACTTTACTGAGAATTGATAATAGAGAAACGGGCCTATATTTATTAGCGAGTGCTTTTGGCCCTTTTTTATGAACCGGCACAACATCAGCGTGTTTCCGCAACAACGGACGAACGCCGTTTCAATAGATAAAGAGAAAATATGATGAATAAGATCAATAAGTTCCGTGACACATTCTTTTAATAAACGTACACTGATCTGATCTGCTCCACATCCTATGTCGTCGCGCAAACGACTGATTGCTAGATATATTCGTTCTCTACTAGGTACAGACATTTAAAACACATCATTTATGAAAACTTTTGGTTTTAAACATGGTCCTGATATTGGACTAAAATACTCAGAAAAAAATTCATTAAATAAAACTGCCCTCATCGCATCATTTTGCGCTTGTTTATTTTCTAAAAAAACTGTAGCCGGTAAATGTGAACTATTGTCTTTAACTTTATTTATTCCTTTCCAAAAATCTTCTGAGCTAAAGCTTGTTCGACAGATTATGAAAATATTTTTTTCTGCTTTTTCTCAGCTCGCTTATTGGGTTATTTCTAGCTAAATGAAGCTTATTTAAATTTGTTTCAGACTTATTACGGTTTATTTTCATAATTAACTTATCACGATACCGGCGAAAAACATAAAACTGCCTGCTAGGTCGAAAGAACATTTTCTGACGTGATTTCACTATTTTCAACGGAACGTGTAAATCGATAGAACTGTTTACAAAGGACTCAAATGTTTCTAAAGCTCTATCTACATTTTTGATATTTAAAAAATACTCGACTGGTATGGATGAGAGCGATAATCTCATGTTATTCCAGTTACAACTTTTATAATCTTGCGCCTTACAAACAGTAGAATTAGATAACACTGAAATAGATAGAAATTCACAAAGTATCGCTTGATGATAAGATTTACCAATGGCATCGAAATAAGAAACTGTTGGTGGAAGCCATATAGAAGGATAGTAAACATTATCTAAAAGAGTATTTCCTACATCGGTAGAATGAAAGACAGACGGAACTAAATGAAATAAAGATACACATTCACGTAATAAATTGAAATTAACTGCAGAACTTTCAGGATCAGAATTAAAATCACTAGCTAATATTAATTGAGAGCTCATTCCTACGACATTTTTTAGTAAGAAATCGGATAGTTTATCATAATAGTCAGAATCTGCCTTAGGTTTACGATAACAAGAAGCTAAGAAAATCTTTTCTGACCTAACAGTTAACGTTACAATAACACACTCAACATTTGTAAACACTAATTCATTGCTGATATAAATGGCTATGCCTCCTTTTGGATTGAAATTGTTAGTTTTTTCTCTGTTTCTCCTGCACAAACTATATCCTACTAAGCTCACCTCATTATCAACCTCTTTCGTGAGAAATGTTTCTTGTGAAAAAATAACCTGTGGGTTATTTTCTGTTACAAACGCTCTCAATGCATTCGCGTTATCTCTCAAACCTTCCACATTGTGGCACATAACCTTTAACCTAACTTGAGCTTTTACAGGATGAGAAGAAGAAAAAGAAAACAAACTAACTTGCGGAGGCAAGCCTCTGCCCTATACTGCTTCTTTCAATTCTGAAGTAATATGATCAATTCCATCTTCATTTGGATGTAATTTATCAAATTCCAAAAACTTCCTTTCTAAATCGATTCAAACAACTGCAACTGTTTTATTATTAGCAAATGTGTCTTTCAATAAATTGTTATACTTCTACTACTGCTGTTGCTGTCGATGTTGTCAGTCTACTACTATTGGCATAATGCAATGATGGACTATCGTTTACAGTCAATTGTGGTGTGTTCGATTGGTGTGGTGATGCTGGTGGTCCTCCACTTCTCAGCCATTGTGTGGTACCTTCGTGAATTAATGGTGAAGATTGTACAGAACTGCTTATGGGTGAAAAAACAATGCCACCGGTTGCTGGTAACAATGATGCTATTGGTGGGAGACTTTGTCGTTGAATTAAATTCGTTAATGTTATTAATTCAACAATAGCCTAATAATTAGAATACAAAAAGACGAAATAAAAAAACCTACTTAAAATAGTCGTTGCTTCTATAGCTTGCACTACTTCAGCTTGAACTACTACCACTTAACCTCTTCCTGAATGGACTGCACATAGTTCAAGTTCCAAGCATACACTTCTGTATGGTGATCTACTAAAAGACGCACCTAAGCTTTAAATACCCGAAACAATCGGTTTAACAATACAGAAACAAGCTCTATAGCTGATTTAAATTTTGATTATTACAAACATTATTATAAACATTATCTTCATTGTGGTTACTATCAACATCATTAATCTCTGATATTGTTTCTGTTATTCCTTGATTTCCATCTTCCGTATTTAATTTTGTTGTTTAACGTTGCTGTGCACGAACGGCTTCATTTGTACTACATTCAAGATCTTGATCTTCTTCTACATTTCCAAAATCATCATCAACATCAGTAACATTAATAGAAGGACGTGTTCTTCCAGTGCTGGGATCAAAACTACCGGCACTATAAAAAAGACACAATACAAATATTTGCAAGGGTTCCGTGATACGACTGAAAAAAGATCCGTGATAAAGTAATAAGAGCAAATTTACTTACTGAGGGCCAACCAAACCTTTCCAGTGAGTAGCATCATCCATTTTTTCAATCACCACTTCGGCTAACAATTTTTTCAATACTGGATTAACTCGTTCTTTGCCAACATCGAAATTACTGCTGATAACCATTACATATAACTGCTCAGCTGTTAAGAGAGAATCCATGAACATACCAAAGATACCCCCCACCTCCTCAATTTCAAAATTCGTTTTTGATCACAGATTCTGAAAGAACGTATACGATTTGGTCAGAAAACTATTAAAAATTCTTTTTGA